GACCTGATATTGTTTTCAGTGTAGGGCTTTGTGCTCGTTTCCAGGCAAATCCAAAGGAGTCACACTTGACAGCTGTCAAAAGGATATTGAGATATTTGAAAGGCACCACTGATTTGTGCCTTTGGTATCCCAAAGGTAGTAATTTTGACTTAATTGGATACGCTGATGCTGATTATACAGGTTTTCTAGTGGATAGGAAGAGCACCTCAGGTATGGCATACTTCCTGGATTCTTGTTTTGTATCATGGGCTACCAAAAAGCAGAATTCAGTAGCTCTCTCTACTGCTGAAGCTGAATATGTTGTTGCTGCTTCATGTTGTGCTCAATTGATGTGGATTAAGCAACAACTGGTAGATTTTGGAATTGAAGTGGGGTGCATACCAATATTCTGTGATAACACTAGTGCTATAAGTATGACAAAGAATCCTGTTCATCATAAAAGGACTAAGCACATAGATGTTAGGCACCACTTCTTAAGAGATAACTATGACAAAGGGTTAATCTCCATAGAATGTTGTGCTACTGATAAGCAAATAGCTGACATCTTCACTAAGGCATTAAGTAGAGAAAACTTTGAAAGGAACAGGTTGGAATTAGGGATGATTAAGATCACCTAAAAGGTCCAGTTCAGAATGCACAATGAAAAATATATGAAAAAAAAATGAAAAAAAAAATTTTGGTTAGGAGTTCTTAATTCATGTAAATATCTAGACTAATTCTTACTCAGTCTCATACTTTAACTAGTATACTCATGTGACATGTGTTTATATGACTCACTGATCTCTTACAAAGTTTTCTATTCTGACATTTGAGGCATAATCAAGAGAAGTTCTACTTAAAGAACCTGGTTCATCAATATATGCTCATGAGAAAGTTCAGGTATGTTTCTATACTTTGCACAATTAGAAAGGTGAAATTATCAATCATGAGCAGAAGTCCTTGTTACACCAAACGTCCAGAAAATTTTATCCGTTGAGCAATTGAACCAGTTTCATTAAACTAGGAGTTTAACTATAACGGGTCTCTTCCCTAAAATCTAGCGATTTTCATTAATCACTTAGGAGACCGGAACTCTAACTTGATTAGACTCCTACTTGACCTCTGAAAAGGCTGCCATTACTGCCTCTAGTCATGACCTCCTTAAAAACCCACCAAATCACTCATAACCGTCACTCTAATTCTAAAATTTCTGATCATCTGCCTTCTTCTCCAAAAATCCCCAAAATCCCCAGAAATTCTCCGCCATGACTAATCCCCAAGACAACCCCGGAACTCCCCCACCAGTCTCCCCCAACACCTCATCTTCAACTCCTCCTAGTGAACCCCCAAAACCCAAATTTCGTCGCCAGAAAATGCTAGCTAGAAAAACAGTTGCATCTGGTTCTTTGAGGAAAGTCTTGAACGAAAAACTACAGGCTAGTCAAAGGAAGGAAGTTACAACCAAAGAAAGCGACTCAAGCTCTGAATCTGAGAAATTTATCTCTGCCAGTGAAGGAGAAGAACCTGGGTCTTCTGACACTGACAAGAGTCAAGAAACCCCAAGAGAGGTAAACACTTGCTTATTGTTTTCTGATGTATTAGAAAGGGAGGATAATATTTTTGTTCTGGTAGGGACTGCTAAAAATGTTGATGGGGCTGAATCTAGTAAAATAAGAAAGAAAAAGAAAGGGAAAGTTTTAGCTATATGTGGTAGTGGAGAAGAGAGAGGCATGAAGTCAGGGGGAAATGGGTCAGGTGAAGCTGCTGAGGGTCTGATAAATTTGAGTGAACAACCAGATGAACCTGGTTCATCTATGGAGGAGACTTTGGCAGATATGCTAAAGAAAGTTGAAGCCAGTTATGATCCAAAGAAACGCAAGGCCTCCTCACAAAGGACCCCTGTTGCGTCCAAACCAACTAAGAAGAGCAAAGTTTCATCACCTAAGTCTGCTGCACCTAGGGTAGAGCCACAAGAAGTAGGGTGAGGCAAAGTGAAGCAGAACTGCAAAAGGCATTAGATGAGAGTAAGAAAAAGAAGAAAGAAAAGGGAAAAGCAAAAATGGTTGAAAGTTCTGAGGCTGCTGTAGAAGAGGAAGAGGAAGAGGAAGAGATGGAACTGGTCTATCAAGAGAGAAGTACGACTGTAGAAGTTCCCACTGCCAAATCAAAGAGAACTAGGTCTTCTGCAAAGAAGCCCTCCAAGTCTGTACCTGCTGAATCCTCTCTAGCTAAAAGAACTAGGTCAGCTGCAAAGGGAAAACAAGTGCAAGTTGAGGAAGAAGAGGATGAAGAGTGGAGTGAAGTAGAAGGAGAAGAAGAGTCAGAGCAGGAACAAGATAGGTTTGTCAATTTTGGCAAACGAAAAATTTTGAAAGGTAGATTGCTCAAAGACCTGGAGGAGCCAGGCATGGTAAGATTGTTGACTTCACTAGAGGCACAAGGATGGAAGGACATGGTCCTTCAGATGGATGGAAGATTGGCCAGAAAAGAACTTGTTGAATTCATGGCTAATGGGACTGTGTATAATGGGCTGGTAACCAGTATAGTGAAGGGGGTAAAGGTGAAATTTGATGCACCTAAGTTAGGTAGAATCCTAAACATTCCAAGTGAGGGCTATGATGATTACACAAGGCAAAAGTGGCCTTGCCTGGATGGTCTGCCTATTGAACTTCTAATCACTAGGAACTTCTGTGACACTACAGATGCTGAGGAGGTTCCTGAAGCAAGGGCTGTTCAAAAGAGTGAGATGAGGCCAGAGCATAAAGTGCTCTTTGAATTTGTAAACAAATGCCTGCTGCCTAGAAAGGAAAGGAGGCACACAGCAAACTACATGGACCTGGTCCTCATGCAGTGCTTGGTGGAAGGATAGCAGATCAACTTGCCTGCTTTCATTGTTAAGCTGCTAGACAGGGTTCTCAATGGTTCAAAGGCTCATGCCATCCCCGATGGGTTTATTTCTGACAGCTGTGCTGGACAAGCTGAACGTTCCCTTGAAGAAATGGGAGATGGCTTCTAGCAAAGAGCATTTTGGCATCAAGACTCTTCAGTCCTGTGATTATATCCTCAGTGTAGGCCCTGTTGAACTTGGTTCATAAGTGAAGACTCCAGTAAATAGCAAGGTCAGAGCTTTGGTTCAGGAGGTAGGGACAAAGGATGCTGAGATTGCAAGGCTTCAAGCTCGAGTTGTTGGACTGGAAGAAGAGAGGAATGGGTTAAGAGCTGAACTTGCAAAGGAAAAAGAAAAGAGTGAAGGAATGCTCCAAACCATGCTTAATCTGCTACAAACCCAATCCTCTAGCTCCTCAAAGCCTTAGGTTTCCTTGTCCTGTTCTAAACCAGTCTAGAAAACCCCCCAGTGACCCAGATTCGGGACTTTCTTTTGTTTTTGCTCATGGTTGGTAGTTTTTGTTCTTTCTTTTTGTGGACTGTTATGTAGAAGCACTGCTTATCAATGACAATGTGCATTTCTCTTGCTTTATGTTAATTTTGATCTTTATAGTTATTTTTTGTCAAGATGATTTTTGATTAACTAAAGCATGCTTTCACTTGCAGTTGCCCCAGTGGCCATGAGTACTAATTAATATTCTGGGATTCACATTATTTATGCAACTTTTCGATGATGCCAAAAGGGGGAAGATATTGTGCTTAAACTCTATTATCTGAACAGAACTCTATTATCTGAACAGTGATGTTTATGACCTAATTAAATCTGGCCCTTAATGATAGGTTAAAAAAAAATTTAAGTGTTGATATTTCAGCTGAGTTCCGCAGGTTCTCTGATCAGTAAAAGCACAGAGTTTGTCATCATCAAAAAGGGGGAATTTATTGGCCCAAGTTCAGTTGATGTTTTGAAGATTGACAAATGAACTCAGTAATGGACCTGGTCTATCTGGTGAAACACAGTGTTTATCAACCATTGCATATGAGATGCACGTGAGGAAGATATACCGTAGAGATCAAGCAACAATATCTTCTGAACTAAATCGAAAAGATTGCAGTTGGGATAAGGAGAACAGTCTCCTTATGAGGAGAGAACACAATCCTAATCTAGGATAAGGGTTGGAGTTTGTATTGGTCAAGGACTCAAAATTGTCTAAGGATAAGCAATAGAGTCTCAATCAAACTCTAATTACTAACTCAATAAATAACTGAGTTTGTTCTCTTTTACAGGCATTGCACATACGCAGAAGTAAAACATAATTGAGAGCAAAAGAGCAAGTCTGTTTTGAAAGCAATATATGTGAGATATAAGTGTGCACTCCTGAAGCTACTTGAACGAGAGAGAAGAACCAGTTCCATTGTGTTTATTCTTATTCTAGTTCAATTGTAGTAGGAATTTCTGTTTGTACCTTTCAGCTTATTTAGAAGCAATTGTATTAGGTACTTTGAGTATTCAAGTTAGAGTTAACTTGAAAGTGTCGCAACAGTTGAGGCTGTGTGCCACACTAGGATTAGAGTTAATCCTTAGGTTTACAAAGAGTTTTTGTAAATGCTGTTTTGGCTCAGTGATTTTAGTGGAAGTTTGGGAAAATCCTACTGAGTAGTAGGTCGTGGTTTTTTCACCTTTTGAGCCAGGTGTTTTCCACGTAAAAATCTCTGTGTTCTTTAGTTTATGCATTTATTATTCCGCAAACTGCAATAGTTAGAACACCTAGAAGAACCAGGTTCTTCTAGAGCGAAAATTGGGTAGCACACAAATCACCCCCCCTCTTGTGTGGTATTGACGTTTAGAACATCAATTGGTATCAGAGCAGGTTATCCTTGAAGAGGTTAACACCTTAGGAAAGATCAACATGAGTGCACCACTTGGAAACTGGGAAGGGCAATCCACTGCTAGGCCTCCACTTTTCAATGGTCTCTACTACTCCTGGTGGAAGAATAGAATGAGAGACCACATCATGGGAGAAGACTGTGAGCTCTGGGACATCATCACTGATGGTCCTCTAGCCACAACAAAGAAAACTGCTGAAGGATTGGATGTTCCAAAGACAAGAGCTGATTGCACTGCTGAAGACTTAAAGAAGTGGGAAAAGAATGCTAAGGCCAAGAAGTGGCTAGTATGTGGACTTGGTCTAGATGAGTACAGCAGGATCCAAAGCTGTACCACTGCAAAGGAAATTTGGGACACCTTACAAGTGGCCCATGAAGGAACACCTCAGGTGAAGAGGTCAAGAGGAATACTGCTATATTCTCAATATGAGAATTTTTACATGAAGGATGG